ACCCGGCCTGCTTCGCTCTGGCTAATAAGTGTGAGATGGCAGCCAGACGCCTCCGTAATAGCCACTAACACTTATTATCCTCCCCGAGATTGGAAATTCATGTGTTGTCATTGAGGGATCTCAAGGCAAGTTAAGGGAAAAAAATAGATGCGTTTCTTTTCTCTCTCTCTCAAGCATACCGCTTCAAGACAGATGTGCGTGTCGTGTTGTAGGAGCGCTGCGTTGGTGTAGGTGGGCTGTAAGGCAGAAGTGGTTTCCAATGTAAGGAAATGGCCTGTTCAGAGTGGTTAAGTCAGTTAACTGAGCAAGATAATGCCTTGGGGTGTTTGAGGCGGAAAAATGCAACATCTCCTCCACCAGCGCCAAGGCAGCTGTTGTTTTGCATTGTTCCAATCCTCTCCTTCACTTGACTTTGCAGAGGATACAGAGAAGGGCCCTCGGTATCGGCACTCTTTCATTAAGAGATCCTGTTAGCAGCGCTGGTCTTGTCATTAGGAGCGCTGAAGGTTTTTGATTTGCTGCCGTTTCCAGTGCACAGTCGAGAGCTCACCCTGCCAATAGCGCCCTGAACTCTGACAATGGTGGTGTGCGGGATCATTACCTGATTTTTCTGCTATGCTTGATGCAGTTAGAGATTGTGGATGGCAGATTTGGTTGTAGTCTGAAATAATCTGAAAATTCTGGAAAGTTTAAGACTAATGCTAGTAAAAATATATCTGTCAAGATCTGATCAGTATTCCTTTACTCTTATATTATGTTTTACAATATTGTCCTGTGGTGTATTCAGTAGTTTTGCAATAGATAAGCAATATCAAAAAGATCAGGAGGGTTTTAATACGTTTTGCTTTAATGTCTGCTCTCTCTCTCTCTCTCTCTCTCTCTCTCTCTCTCGCTCTCTCTAGCTTTCCCTCATTTATCTGCAACAAATTAAAGTTGTTTTGAACTTATCCCTAAATTCTGAGTTAATGCAGAGAGTACTGTTGGCACATCTTACCCCACTACTGGGGTGATCAAACTTAGTTACATGGGGTTAGATGAAACACTATAAAAAAACATGGACATCAGAAAAGTTTGCACACATTTGTTTTGTTAATCAATCATGCATGTATGTATTATTTAATTATTTATTTTTACAAAATGTAATTTTCATTTTAATAAATACCAATCCTGATGAATCCCAATTTCATTTTAATTAACCTAAAATAATAATAAAAAAATGGGAAACTTTTAAAAATAATAATAGTTTTGCTACATTGTCAAAAAATATTTTTTGTAAATAAAGATTTTTGGAGTATGTTTTACAAGAAAATACTATTTCAGTTTTTCTACTTCACATTTAATGTGTTACTTGCTGTTTCTTTATAATTGTTTGTGAAATTTACATGCAATTTCTGAGTGAAAATTATTATTTTTTAAGTGTACGTACTAAATTAATAAGACAACCTGCTGTTACCAGATGTTACCAGTCCTGTCATTTAACATTAACCAATTTGTAACTTAGATGTGAAATGTTTATTTTATTTGATTTTTTTTTCTTTAAGTTCTGTTAAATTTGACCCTAGTCTCTCCTATGTTCATTTGTGCACTTTTGAATAGTGAGAATTTTGAGATTTCGGGTGCTTCCTGCTGGGGTGCAGGTACTGTAACCCCCTCCCCCTCCCCTCTGTAGCCGTTGGGCTCCCCGAACCACCCAATGCGTGCCAGCTCCCTCCCGGCTGCTGAGAAATTGCTCCTGACAGCTGATTTGTTGGTTGTCAGAACTGGTTGCTGTGCGGCTGATAAGGGCGCAAAGGCCCGAGATGGAAAACTAACTGCTTCTCATGATTTCAAAGGCAGCCCCATCAGCCTGGGGCCTGCAGACACATGTAAATGTCTCTGGGCTGAAATCACCAGGGATGTTTCCTCCATGTGCGGGGGCCATTCTTTAAAGAGTTAGTCTGCACTTAGCATGCAGCATCTGGCCATGTAGAAAAGCATTGCAAATGCCACCTTTTAGATGTTTTATTTCAGACTCATTGTTTGCATGCAGTTATTGTTGCCCTGACTGTACAAAACACAGCTTTATATGGATCCTGCTGGGTCCTTTTTAACAAAAAACAAAGATACTGTAGATGAACAGAGGACACCAAGCAGCAATAATCTATCTATCTATCTATCTATCTATCTATCTATCTATCTATCTATCATTCTCAGTTGAAATTTAGGAATTCAATTGGAGCTGTAGAGGTATCCAATTCAGATCTTTTATGTTTGTTTATTTGACAAAAAAAAAATTATAATTACAATAAATAAATAAAAATACACTCTATTCGCTGATTAGCTGACACATTGTAGGTCTGCTTGGCAGTATTTAATGACATGAATATGGCTCTGAACCGACTAGCTCATCTATCAAATGAAGTGAAGAAAAAAAGTGACTTTTACAGTACTACCAGCTACATTCATTCACCCCCAGATCTGTGCTTGGAAAGGTGGAGCAGAGTAGTCAGGGGAGTGGAGCAATGGGAGGACCTGGTCCAGCCTGCAGCGAATCATCAGGTCTGATCAGTCACAGGAAGCTCTAATAGGCTTGTACAGGAAGCCATTGCGAGCGAAGAGGTCACTAGGTAATTGGCTGTGAATCCTGTTCCAGCATCCTCCCATCCATGGGATGGCTGCTACTATAACTCACTTCCTGTCAATGATGTCAACCCTCGTGGCCGCCTAAGCCCGGGCTGAAGGGTCGATGAGAGGGTGCTGGCCGTCATCCAGCTCTGGAGAAGATGACAGTGTGGCAATGACCATAGATAACCCCTACAGCCTGTCCATACAATAATTGCCCTTAATTACCTCATGCCCCAATACAAAGCCCTCATGCGGTTGGAGCGTAGCTAATACCCCATCAGTCAGTATAGCTACGGCGTTCTGTCGACTCTTAACAGCACGCCATCCACCTCTGTGTTTACCCCAGCAGGGCGAGGAGGGGATTCTACTGTGTCATGGAGTCAGGGAGCAGATAATTCAGCCAGTGTTTTCTTCCCCAAACAAAACAAACTGTACGTATAATCACTGAGAGGTCACACAGCACTGGACCAGAGGCCACCGCTTGTTTATCCCGTGCCCTCTTATCACCCCTTCTGCCTCTTCATCTGTTCTTATCACGGCTGGTGTTGAGAGGGGCTCCATGGCTTCCTGTTTTGGGCTTGCTGTCAACCTCTTTGACCGGTTGACCCCAGGACTTATCTCTCACTTTCTTAAAAGCCAAAAGCCTTGTCTAAAAGCAGCAGGGCAAGTGCTCTATTTTTGCTCTTTTTGTTTCTGTTACTTGAAGGTTTGTAAACCGCAGCACACTAAGTGTGAGAGTGCAGTTGTATGAAGAGGCAACTTTTAGAAATTTCAAAGTTTGCTGTAATTATAAGAGAATAATAATATTTTTCCCCCTATATAAAAGTTTTGTTTAGCCATGGTGTGAAGAAAGTAAGTATCTACCCGTTGGTTGCAAATGTTTTGTCATATCTATTACATTATTCAAAAATACATAAATAATGTAATTAATACATAAAATTGCTTACATACATGTCTTCTATGATGAGGTGTGTGCATGCTATAAGCATGTTTTTAATTCAATTAAATTCAATTCAAGTTTATTTGTATAGCGCTTTTCACGATACAAATCGTTGCAAAGCAACTTTCCTGCCAATTAGTTTTCTACAATATTTAGTAGTAGCTTATCAGTGGTGACTGTCAGTTAATGTACATATGGCAGAAATGTACGGAAAAATCAATTAAAGACATAATCAAACAGACGATGAACACTATTAACAGCAATTATTATATGATGCAATCAAACTTATGGCAAAATTTGGTAGTTCTGTATGTTATTTCATGGTTGGCATCATCTGAGGTCCTCTGAAGGGTTGGCATCATCTCGCAAAAACAGAGAAACAAATAGAGACATAATTAGCGTAGCTGCTGTTCCAACCAAGCAAAATGTATTTGTTTAACCCAAAATGCTGTTTTTGTAACATGGGAAATATGTTTTTAATTTCTGTATTAAAAATTATTTTTATATATATTTGTATACAAAACTGCATTTTTTAAATTTTTTTTATTTCTTTTCGAAAATTGTGATCGTTATTAGTAGTATAATCATTATTACAAATATTTTAACAAAACTGCTTATATATACACCCAAATGTATTAAAGTTGTAAGGATTTTTTTTCTTTCTACTTAATATTTACACCACTTGACATTTCATTAAATGTAACTTTTTCTTGAAAATAGCAAGCATCTACTAGCCGTTTGTTATGTCACTTGATTAACATTCATGAGTGGAGCTGATTAGGGCTTATAATGTGTCTCTCTAAGTTTCAGATCATTTCTTGCCCCCTGGTCGTGTATATGTGCATGTGTGATTGTGTGTGACAAATTATCAGTAATTTGTTCTCAAACATCCATATCTAGTTTGAGACTTGGTCTCAATGGTTTTTTATTTATTTATTTTTTTTTATCACTGGATGTTCCCTGTTCCTCATGGATGGTGCGCTCTGAGAGGTGAAATGGATCCTCAGTAGAGGCACTTAGGAATGAGGAAAAATAGTGTGTCACATATTGAAAAACGCTCAAAGAAACATCAAATATTTGGTAATGGAATTCAGATGCTGGCTGGCTTTACAAATCCCATTAAAACATCTTTGAGCTTCCTCCATCTCTGAGGAGCAGACTCAAAGCTATTTTAATAGTGCCCAGGACTTCATCATTTTAACAGCAAAAGAGTTCCTGCTCTGTACTAGATACATAATTTGCATGGCATTAGGACCAGATAAAACGAAGATTGCTGCACGACTCAATGGCTCATTTATGCTTTCTCCATACGATAATAGCAATCAACAGATATTTGTTGCTTTTTTCCTGTTCATTTAACTGCTTCTGTGTTGGTTCACTTCAATCATGAGCTGTTTTCCCCCCTCCCTTCCTTTCTTCCCCTGTTTTCTCTCTTCCATCCTCTCCCTCTTCACAGGATTCGGCTTTGTAACTTTCGAGAACGAGGATGTGGTGGAAAAGGTCTGCGAGATTCATTTTCACGAAATCAATAATAAAATGGTGAGTTGCTTTCACCTCTTTGCAATTTTTCAATTCGAGGGCCAGGATTAATATTTGATGCTGGAAGCTGAATGGGTGCTTATAATGGGCAGCATACAGTGAAGGTGACGGCTGCTGGGTGCGCATGCGCATGGGTGGGGGGTGTCATCCCTTTCCCAACCAGCCTGCTTTCAAGGGGATGAGGAGTCACTGGTGTGCACCGGCCACAAACCATGAAATTGTGTCTTGGATCCCTGTCTGCCAGGCTGGGAGTAAAGGCCTGTCTCTTTTCCCCCGTTGCTGTTCCCTCATCCAGGGAAAACTGGGAAAGGATCTGGCAGTCATTCTGGGGGCTTGTTAAAATTGTGTGGTGCAAAAGATTGAAAGAAGATTTAAAAATCAAAGCCTGGGTGCTTCTTGCATGTTGGCACCTGATGCCCTGTCCCGCGATTTTCTGGTTGCTGCTACGGTTCGTATTAGATTTCTCCATGTCTTGCCAAGCTTTTGAGAATGAAAGACAGCAGAGGGACACGGTTCCTGACCTTGAGGCTTCTGTAGGCGAGCCACAGATGCAGCAAACTGTGCTTGCGACGAATCACGAAATGAGGACAACCCTGGTGTCATTCTACATGACAGCCAGATAGCAAGATTTTTAATGAAGGTCAGCACTGTCAGTTAAGTTCAGTTACTTATACTTACAAATCACTGAGAACCATGAGCCTCCAGGAGTTTTCCATGAGATCGAGCTCAGTGCTGATTTGTCGCGTTGATGATCAGCATTGGAGAGTTAACTAGCCTAATTTGACTACATTGATTCATTAGCATGACAGTGTGCTCAGTTGTTACCAAAACAGTTTAAAAACTTTTCTGGTAACAAGCTACTTAAAAAAAAAGAAAAGAAAAAAAAAAAAGTCTGATCATTCTGAATCTGTTTAGTTGGAACATTCTTTCCTTTTGTAATATAGTTATATTATTTTTTTTCCAGTATCAATTCTCGATTCAGTTTGATTCTGATTCATTCCAGTTATTTGTCACTTTTGCTTATAATATATGAAAGAAATGAAAGAGTGTTTATGGTAGTTGTTTATGCTCATTTTTATTGATGTGACTCTATTTGAGATATTTAATTTTTTATATTTCAAAATTGCTTGTCTACAGTTTAAACTACTTTAAACAGTAGTAGTAGTTTCAATTGCAGTTTCAAAGTAGCTTTTCCAACCCTGCTGTCGACACAGTGTTTCCCAGTATTCCATTCTAAACATGACAACACAGTGGGACCAGCCTCTCCTGTCTCTCCATTGATTTTTACATGATATTTCATCAAATGTTCTCATTATTCAGTGAGCGTCTAGAGAAAGCCTGAATTTCTTTTCTTTTTTTAACACGTTTCCCCCAGCGTCTCATAGCAGGAACCTCGCTGTTGATCGACTGGCTGGCTTAAATTGGGCCATTGGAGAATTACTTGCATAGCTAATATCAGTCACAAAGGTTTAAGAAAAATATAAGTTTGGTGAAGGGAAAACATTTACTTAAAATGACGGCTTTGTCATGGTCTCTCAGTTCAGATCATTTCTCAGATGATGCGCTGGGAATGAAAGAACGAAAAAGGTCAAGGCGTGTTGGGCGGAGACCCGTCCTTCCTTTTGCTCTTTTTGGCTCTTCTTACTGATTTCAATTGCCATCATCAAGTTGCTTTTGCCAACAAGATCAAAGTGGTCTCTGAAGCCTCGTCTGCTAGCAGGCCTGTGTGCATATTTGACTTGCTAATTCGACCATGGTAATATTGTTATTATCATGAATATTTTGTACAGCGGCCGTAATGATCTCCCTCTGCTTGTGGAAATGCCAGCTTTGTACATCGACTGCCTGCTTGGTGAGCCGCCATCTTCAGAGGCGGCACCATCTGTGACCCTCGACCCCAGGCTGTGGAGCAGAGAGCGAGCCAGGCTCAGTAGCTGTTTATAGAGAGGCTCTGTTGACCCAGTAAGGCCACTCTCGAGCTGCCAGGGCCCTGGATATCCATAAATGACCCTAAATGGTTCCAGGATCTGGAAAGCTGGACTGGTGAAGGTCTCTACAGACCCCAGGCTTCCTGATCAGCTCATTTGATATCTGGCCTGGAAATGCAGCCAGACATTAAACATTCAGAAGACATTTCCTTGATCCACTGGCTTAGAGACAGGAACGCACCATCCATGCAGGCAGGTTAGGTCCCACACCAAGAGGTTGCGTTGGATCGAGATTACCTTGAAGTGAATTCTTTAGAGATTCATTTGAAATGTAATTCCACTTCAGAAGTAACTCATTTAGGGAGCTGAACATGTATTATCTCTTGATTATTTTATCAATGAAAACAATTAAACGAAAGCACAGCACGACTAGTTCCAGACTGAGCAGATATGGAGGGGAATCACTATTAATAGACAGACCCTAATGGTTGTTTTGACTATTTTCCATCCCTTTCGAACAGCACATTCAGAGTCATAATATCCGGTTACATCTGTGTGGGAGCCTTTTTCTGAAGTCCCATTCCAAACATTCTCTATTTTATCAGGCATTTCAGAGACTTTTATCTCCCCTGGTGCTGTCTGTCATGAGAAATACTGTGTGAATGTGAGCCGACTGTGTTGGATAAGTGGTTGAAATCACCTGGACATCTATAAAGCACCGGGATGACTTCAGCACTGTCCCTGCGGTTTGTCCATTGGAAAATGCCTTCAGAAGAGGTACCAGAGCTGAAAGGAAAGTTTCATGATCGTAGTTTTTACCGTAGTTAGAGGGGTTTTTGGGTAATTCCTGTTATGTGGGACCTTTTCAACTTCACAGAACTGTTGAAATTACTAATATAATATAATATAATAAGTTCATATATCATATACATTTTATTTTATGTATGTATATATATTAGGGGTGGAACGGTTCAACTTACTCATGGTTCGGTTTGTATCACGGTTTTAGAGACACGGTTTCGGTACGGTTCGGTATGTGCTATGTTTAGGCAAAAGCTATACTGTCAAATAAAAATAAAGAAATTAAGAATAATCTATATAACTACAAGCAACAGCACAAATAAATACATAGAGTAAATATACAAATAAAATAAACAGTGATTTTCAGGGTTTTTTAGGTAGGTCTAACATTAGTTTTCAGGTACAGAAATTGAATAAAGTAATAAAATGTAAAACAGAATTGCATATTTGACTGTATAAATTAAAGATGTATCTTTATTAAAGTTACAAAAGCTATTCAATCAAGAGCAGTGAGTGATTTCTTTGTTGTTGCTGTTTGTTTAATATTAAGAAAGTGCTGTCACTTTAAGAGAATGCACTGATCCAGTGCACCGATACAGTACGGTGAGCCGGTTATGTCTGCTATAGGATACTTACCAAGACGGGCATTTTGACATAATTTTTGTGTGAATTTGTCCATTTAAACACAATACTTCAGAGAAAGCTTAATATTTGCGTGCGCTCTAATGGCTGTGTGTTGAGTTATTTTGAGGGGACAGCAAATTTACACTGTTATACAAGCTGTACACTCACTACTTTACATTGTAGCAAAGTGTAATTTCTTCAGTGTTGTCACATGAAAAGATATAATAAAATATTTACAAAAATGTGAGGGGTGTACTCACTTCTGTGAGATACTGTTTATATATATTGTGTGTGTGTTTTTTTTTCTTCAAAAAAAAGTTGGAATAAGATTTTTTTTGAAGAAATCTTTTATGCTCACCAGGGCTACATTTATTTGATCAAAAATACAGTAAAACTAGTAATATGGTGAAATGTTATTACAATTTAAAATAACTCTTTTTAGCTGCATTTATTTTTAAATCATATAAATGCAGCCTTGCCTAGCAATTTTTTTTTGGATGGGGATGTGAAAGTGCACTGTGGCATGGTGGGAATGACCTTTACTTTGCAAAATGCTAACAGCTAAAGTATAATATGCTAATTAAAGCAGTCCCATTTAAAACCCTTAAAACTAAAAATAAATAAGTATCCAATCTCACTAATCGACTTGTGGGATGTTGGACCATTGTGACCCACAGCTGAGTGAGGGAGTGTTCAATAGCAGGCTAATTTTAGGTCCCGGCCCAGGAAGTGTTATTTATATATCTTCCATATCGCCCTGCAGCCCAAGACTGGTTGCCCACTGAAGCTAAGCAGGGTTGTGCCTGGTCAGTAACTGGATGGGAGACCTCCTGGGAAAACTAGGTTGCTGCCGGAAGAGGTATTAGTGAGGCCAGCAGGGGGTGCTCACCCTGTGGTCTGTGTGGGTCCTAACGCCCCAGTATAGTGACGTGGACACTATACGGTAAAAAAACATCGTCCTTCGGATGAGACGGGAAACCTGGCCAAATTCGCCCATTGGCTCTGACCATCATGGCCTCCTAACAATCCCCATATCTACTGATTGGCTTCATCACTCTGTCTCCTCTCCACCAATAAGCTGGTGTGTGGTGGGCATTCTGACGCACTATGGCTGCCGTCGCATCATCCAGGTGGATGCTGCACACTGGTGGTGGACGAGGAGATACCCCCTCACAATGTAGAGCGCTTTGAGTGCTTAGAAAAGCAGAAAAGCGCTATATAAATGTAATGAATGTATGTAAACCCTCTCTTTGGGAGTTCCCATGGACATATGACTGTACATGTTATCTCCCGCTCTCTTATTTGATTCTCTATCACTGCCTCACTCTCTCCCTCTGGGAATCATCACCTCTCCAACCTTAATACAGTATGGACTGCATAAGTCATCTCATGTCACTCCTTTAGCCCCCCGTTATTACGCGATCAAGTACTCAGTCAATACCTTCCTCTCCCTTAACGCATAAAGAGCAATGCCGCACCATACCCATGCGTGCCTGCGGCAGAATGATGAGAATTCTGTGCTCATGTCCTCCCTGGCAGTGCCCTTGCCTCCTACAGGCAGTGTGGAGGTTGTTGCTCTCATTTTTGTTACCATTCCCTCCCTTCCTCTCTCAGTGTGCCCCGGCCGCCCAGCCAGGATTGCCAGCT